TAAAATGAAACAAGGAGCAGAAAACTGAGACAATCAATGAGGAAGGTGATGCAAGCTTCCCACATATTTAAAAAGCAGAGGGAAAAAATATTATTACAGTATTCGTATCGTGCTACAAACTTCTGTTGCTCATGTTTAATATAAAATGCTGGTGCAAGTTCAGATAAAACAGAACATTACTGCTGTGCTTCATAATTCATGGGTACTTTTGTGTAAAATACTGACTTCAGGAATTTCATTTCTTGAGCTGTTGTGTTTCAACTTTTTACATTGCCTCAGAAAAATTCTACAGCTCTTTGTCCATTCATACATCCTTGTAACTACTTATTCAGTTCAGGGTCGCAGACGGGCTCTGACATGCAAAATGCACCGATAACAAAAAAAAAAAGAAAATTTTAGAAAGAAAATAACAAAACCAAAAACACAACAATTATACAGAAAACTTCAATGCAATCAGTCGGTGGTGACAGGCACAAATCTTTTCTCAGTCTTTGCATGTCTTTGCATGAATTTTAAACAGAGTTTGAAAGGATGAAAGATGAGATTGGAATCATAAAGTACCTTTTTAACAAAGGACATTTGAAATTAGAATTTCATACACCACAGAGTGTGAAAACTTATTATCAGTGTTTAACCCACCAACAGGGTCTCTGCAATTGGTATTACAAGTCCCTCACTTGACCCAAGCTTGAATACAGAAACTAGCCATTTTATACTATGTACAATAAAAAAAAACCTCTCTCATGTAATTAACAGTGTGTTTAAAAAATAGACCATCTTAGCCTCACAATTAGCATTATACCTGACTGATGTATACACATCACATTATATGACATAATAAGTGCAGCATATCTACCTTCCTTTGTTAGTTTAAAGCCAGGAGAGTTAACAGTTTTGCTGATATACTCTATGACAAAGAGTATTAGTATTGTTTTTATTTTAGCTATGTGTGGTCTCTTGATGGAGACAAACATTGGCAAACATACAGAGCATTGGATAACACTGGCAGGCAGAACAGGTATCATCAGTGCTGATTCACTGCAGTGTGCTTTTGGCGTTTGAACGGACTTTTTCATGATATATGTTGAAAGGTGATTTACATTGTATGAATGCCCTTATGATTCTGATCTCATTGATTTCCTCCTCCCTCCCATTTAGCAGTACATAGGGAAAGGACTTACTGTGTACTACAGAAAAAAGAAATTATATCTACTTGTCACCAATGACGGTTTTCATCCACTCAAAATAAATAACATTCTTCGTACATTTAAATGAGTATTCTGAAAGGGTAATGTGTGTGTGCAAGTAAGCAATATGAAAGTTATAAAATAATGATTATATAATTAATTTACACTTGACACCTACTTTATTGCATACACCTTGCTTGTTTGGGTTAGACCCATTTTTGGCACAGGCTCAATACGTTTCTGGAAATATTTCCGCATAGATTTGGATCCATATTGACATGATAGCATCGATGATGTGAATCTCCCTTTTCACCACATCCCAAAGGTGCTCTGGTAGATTGAGATCTGCTGCTTGTGGGGCCATTTGACTACAGAGAACTTAATGTCAGATTCACCAGCTTGAAACCAGTTTGAGATGATTTTGAGCTTTGTGACGTGACGTGTTACCCTGCTGAAAGCAGCCATTACAAGACGAACACCCCGTGGTCACAAATGGATAGACATGGGCAGCAACAATACAGTTGGCTATGGCTTTTAAATGATGCTCAATTGCTACTAAGTGGCCCAAAATGTTCAAAGTGGCCATTCTCTCACACTATTACACCACTAGTAGTAGCCTGAACTACTGATACTAGGCAGGATGGATCCATGTTTTCATGTTGTTTATGCCAAATTCTGACCCTTCCACCAAATGTCGCAGTGGACTAATCAGATTAGGCAACATTTTTCCAATCTGCACTTGTCCAGCTTTGGTGAGCTCATGCAAACTGTATCCTCGGTTTCCTGTTCTTAACTGACATAACCCATCTGCTTGAAGGTTCAATAGGCGAAGTATTCAGAGACATCTGTATATCTTCTTACATCGTTGATTAGATATTTGCATGAACAAGCAGTTGTGCAGATGTACCTAATGAAGTGGCCAGTAAGTGTAGACAGTCCCGATCCAAATATTCAAAGAGAACATTTTATAGAGCAGCATGTTTTAAGTAAGCTATAGCTTAGAGACTCTCTTTTATGACACAGAGACTCCAGTTAGTAAAAGAATGAGGCAAACAACAGAAAACACACTAAATCGAGAGTGGGAAGAAAGCCTAATGGTGGTAGATTATAATGGTATTACTACTTTGTGAGACACAAGTAGGATACACGCAGCAGGCTTGAGGTGTCTGTGGGATGACGGGACTGACACTCAGCGGATGAGTCACACACAAGCTAAGCAGAGGGGTGAGGATCATAAAGACTTCTGCTCAGCTGTGAGCAGAAAAGAGCGTTGCTCCATTGAGTCATCCTCTACTGGTTTTGACCTTTGTCACTCAGACCTTTATCTGCTGACTGTTTACATCCATAGCTGAAGGTCTATAAGGAATCCTTGGGTGTTTATACTCCTTCGTTGCAAGCCAAAGATGATGTAATGAGGGATTTTTCCAGTAGGTTTTAGTCAAAAGTGCTGCAATGGCTCACTACCTTTGCAGTTTAATGGGATTATGACAACATTGTGATATATTAATCTTGTTGTGATATTTATGCTAAGCTAATACGGAGATGAATTACGCTCTGACTACAACCAGTATTAGTCACAATTTTAGAGGCTTTTGATATTCTAAAATCAAGTGAAACACTTGCCTGGAGTACAAAATAAGCATCGTCTATCATTTGACTTTAGATCAACAAAAGTATTACTTTTTAGTACGCATCTCATTATTACTGCAACAGAATTTAAAGAATATTTTGAAATTTTGGGACGTACACATCTGCTTTCTTGCTAAGAGTTTGACAAGAAGATTTATATCACTCTTATGTGGATCCTTTAAGTATTAAACTATAGCCAGGAGCTAGTTAACTTTGCTTGCATAAATTTGGGGGAGAAAAGAGACACATTGCCTTCGGTTGCTTTGGAATCGAATCAAAGTAACAGTCTATGTGCTGTCACTGTGCAAGTACATATCCAGAACATATCATCTAGTTAAACTGTACACTGGTATTTCTGACGATTAAAACACTGAGAGACAAAGTAAAAGGCGATGGCGAGCTAATTTTATTTCTTTGGGACAAAACCAGGATAGCTATTCTTCTTTTACCCCTATATGCAAATCCAGAGATATGAAAAAAGAGACATGGGTCTTAAAATTTTGAATGTGAGAGAATTTCACAAAAACAAAAAAGGTAGAATTCACAAGTCTGAATTTAAAAAATATATATAAAAAACTGTGTCCGATGTGACTGGTGATTCTAGATTAGATAACTGAACAATGCTTAAAAAAATTGCTTTAAAAAATTGAGCAGACAAATAACTGGGAGATGCCAAGTTTGCACTACTTTTTTCTTGAAAACCTTTAGTTAAGCTGACCAGCTACAGGCTGGAACTTCATATTTAGTGACCACACATAACAGCGGTATCTTCCCATGTCATCGAAATCTTGAAATCAAAAAAGCTTATTTTGCCAGATGTACAACCATTACAGTAACTAAGGGGAATTCTATGTCCTGGGTCATGTAGACCTCAATATAACTGTTGGATTAAACCAGTGCAGCATAACTAGTAAACACTCCATCAGCAGCAGCACATTATGTAGTGCGCCTGAAGCTGACCTAACTCATTCCAGAAGCTGCACAGTGGTCACATGTACCTAGGTCCTTTGCCAAGCCATCCCATCCAAGTCAATTTCACAGCTCGCCTGTAGTGAGTTTTTTCCCTTCTTTCTTCTCTTTCAAACTCAATTTCAGCAACTTCTGGGAGACAGCAGTGGCCTCACTGTTAGTCGATCACATTTTCTCATTAATTTAAAGGCACCGTAGTTGCTGTTTAATTCATTCTCTATCCATGTGCATTAAGGAAACTGCTTCGCCATAGTTTAAAAAAACCCAAACAGCCTCAGACGTATGACACTGTTGTTCCAGACTTGATAAACCACCAGTCAGGATGTGTTACAGTAGGATGTTCCGGAGGACTGTCACACACAGAAAAAAAGAGTAAAACTATTCATACACATACAGTTTAGTGTGTGATCCTAGTATATACAAATGATATTTTTTACAGGATATGTGAGCTAATGGCTCTCTCAGATGAAGTGCCTCACCACATATGTCAGAGTAGTTACACCACTATCAGTATCTTTCTACATGTGATTTGAACTCCAATTTGTAATTACAAAATTATGAGGATTTTTCTCTATTACATTAAAAAAAAAAAAAAGAAAAATGAAAGCATGTGTATGTGAAGGTGCATGAATTTGCATTCTGATGCATGCACCAGTACGCTGCTGGCACAGGTGTGCAGGGGCTATTTACATTCATTTTATGAGCTATAAATGACAGAGCAGGAATCTTAGGTTCATCAAATAATCGTCATTCAGTGGGGGTCATCCTGATTATCATAGCATTAAAGCGACATATGAAACAACCATTAATAATTCATAAGGTTGTCCGCCTCAATTAAGGGCTTCCTTCTGGTCTTATATCTGGCTTGTACACCAAGTATTGGTTTTCTTTATGATTGTTAAGGTGTTATGTCTCCACCTAAAGGTACTCCGAGGAACTGTGTGGGGATCATTCATCTATGTGTGAGCCCCACATGACAAAAAGCTGAACTGATAGGCAGGATAATCATATAAACACTCAGAGCAGCATTTTAATCAGAGCCAATTATAGATCTCTGTCATATTTAATGACACATTAGGTACAAGTTGATACGATTAGCCATGTGAAATTAGTGGAATTCAAGGGAGATATTGTACTCATCCAATTACAGATATATATCTATAGTTTTTCATTGGGAAAAAAAGCAATTATTACCATTAATGAAACTCTTGATAATGCATTACAAGTAAAGTTTTATTATTCAGCTTTAAAAATACCATTACATGCTCCCAAGATAAATGTACAATAGATTGTGCAATTCTATACAGAACATTTTAAAGTGTCAAAAATGTTTTATAAAGTGGTTTAAATAGTGAGAAAACTACAGGAATTCTGAAAGTTTTTCCTTTACTTTCTCTTCAATGTTTGCATAGTATTTCATTTGGACAAGTATTGCTTTTGCGGCCTGTAGCTCTCCTGAAAAAGAAAGAAAGAGGGTGAAAAAGGAGGTTTAATCAATGACTCACTCAGTGACTTAAAGGGAAGCTTCAACTAGATTACAAAACACACAAAGAAGAATGAGTGGGAGGAATAGACACTGTTTCAAAGCAGCATCTGAATATTATTACCTTTACGAAGAGCAGCATCTATATGCGCTGTCAAGTCTGCCAGTTTTCCTGCAGGTAAGGAAAAGGCAAGTTCTATATCTGCACGTGTTTACAACATACCCCACACGTGGTGCTGTTTATTCACAGTGAAGAGATCTACTTAGAAACTGTACAGATTCTATACACATAGGCAAGTCTGTCACGTACTGACTTTACTGGGAGGCAATTATGACTGTTTCTGTAATGTAATGGGTCATTTGTTATGTAAAATTGGGGGCAAATTAAAAACTACTGTAGTCAGTGAAACTGTTCCCATTGGACAAGCACATTTCCTAATATCCTATGATTTGTCCTCTTCAGAGACAAGGTTAAATTTTAATCATCCTTAAGCTCAATAAAAACTCATCAAAATCTGCAAGTTCTGCCACATGCGGCATGATGTGAGCTATACTGAATTGAATCTGAAGGCACACAATTGTATCTGCTCCATCAACCAGCAACTGGCTCTGTTTGAAAAATCCAAAACAATTGTATAGGGACATTGTCTTTAAGGACTAATAGATAGCGGCGTGTGGAGACTGCTGTCTGCCATGTATAAAGCCCCTTGCAGTAGCAAACAGACATACATTATGCTGAGCGTTTTGCACTACAATTGACATTTAAAAATGTTTTTCTCGTGACACCTTCAGCGTGAGCAGTTTTGAATCACAATGAGAAATTCAAAGCTGCTCACACTGCATTTCCTGGGACACGAGTACATTCTTCCATAATCCAGTTTTTTTTTTTTTTATCCTGTTCTGTTCATTTTTAGTATTTATTCTGCATTAATGATTCTGAGTAATTACTGTGTATTCAGTGTTTAATGACCTTTTCATTTACTATATTTCATTGTTCATGTCATTCTCACCTTGGATTCAATCTGCCTACATATGCACTCCACCAGTGCTGGTCTGTTTGGTTGCTGTGAAAATGGGTAAATCCCTTGCTTCTCTGTTGTATTTCTGACAAGAGTAGCTCCTTGAGGAGTGTTAGATGTAGTGCTACACTGCACTTGAGGTTACTATGGTAACCACAGGTGTTTCCAGATAGACCAGAGCTGAAATCTAAGGGATTGCAACCTTGACCCTTAAAATCAAGCATGTGTGCAGTTCAGCCATTAAGTGATTCTCATCTCACACTTTAATAACTGACGATTTAGACTGAAGTAGATACATCTGACATGCAGAAAAATGTACATTACACATCCACTTTTGCTACATTAGGCAAACGACTTGCTAGAAATCTACTTAAGTAAAGTTAAAATAACAACTTGTTTACCTTTTATATCTCGGCCAATCATAATGGCCTCTTCTGGAGCCTGTGCTTCATCGAGGGCCTCATTAATCTCCATCAGCTTCATTAGAAAATTTGAATCAGCTCCAGAGTCTGTGCCCTCTTCTATATTCATTCCCTCTAGTTCCAGCTGAAACATATGATGGGAATCTGTCAAAGGTTGCTCCTTTAGATGTAAGACACCAGTCTTGACTGCCAAATGGTGACGAACGTGATCACACAGACAGACCTTGTAATTACGAATTTTGCTACAAGTTAAATCAGAGATTTGAAACTCACCATATAAAGACCACGACTCAAAGGCTTAAGCAGAGTGCCGTATGCTTTGTTAACGAGAGCAGACTGGCTTTCTGAATACTCCTGTTCTTTCTGCAAAAGAGGGATGTGTTGTGTTAGGATTATTTCTAAGCATAGCAAGTTCAATCCAAAATCATTTATTAAAAAGGAAAAGCAAGGCTGTATTATAATGTTTTGTTTTTATTTGTATTGCTATGGATTTGAAAGAATGAACCTTTACAATATTCACAGAAAATGTGAGTGATTTTACACTTTGCAATCGCAATCTATAGCATTGTCAAAAACCTTTATGATACTGATAATTATCTGTATGACATGCATCGACTCTTGCAGTCAAGCAGTTTGGGACCCTTCAGGAGATGCAGGTGTGAGTTTGACATGACAAATGTGCGGAAACAAGATGTGAGGTTTGGGTGGGAGCGGGGGTGAGAGCTCCGAAATGGTTGGCAGATCTGAGAACATTTTGCAGCTATCAGGTCTGTCGGCTCTGGTGAAAATCAATAGTCGGAAGCTCTGACCCATGGGCCCATCGTGTGAGGCTGTTTCTCTAATAACAACCAATGCAGTAGGTGGCTGCCTCATATAAGTAATGACTTTTCTATATATGATGCAAACCCCTGAGGGTGGAAGATGTCTAATTAAGAAAGAAATGGCCAGAGGTGGTGATAAATAAAACAGATTCAGTACAATATTGGACAGGTTGTGTATAAAGAAACAATTTAGGCTACCTCTCCCCTCTCACATTCTGCTGAATATGAGTTTAGCTTTCATATCATATCATGACAACATTCTGCCTTTCGCTTTTCCACCTGAGTGTACAGAATAAATTACACCCAAAGCAATACATCTCCTCTCCATCTTGCATTTATAATGCTTATTCTCGTAAACTGCCATGCATTTTTCTTAATGATCTACAAGGGGGGGAAATGGAAAATGGGGAGTTTTAACACTATTTACCACATTGTAAAATAACATCTAACACATTAAAACTGATGCACTGGGACAAGCCTTATTTCTTTATGTGAAATTGTTAGGCAAGTGATCACCCTTACAGTCTCACCGTAAATGAGCTGTGGGCTCAATAAGATTTGGCAGGAACCTCAAACCTGACACAAAATTCTTTTTTGAACTAAAGGAAGTGACAATTTACAAATGCAAAGATTAAGAAAACATCAGACTTCTTTCCTAAATTAAACTTCTTTCCTTTTATTGTCTATTTCATGGAAAAAAGATCTCTAGTGGTTTAGTATTTACCTCACAAAGTTATGGAACTCTTAAATGTCCATTGTACAGGATTTATTGTAAGAAAAGAACATTCAGTATTAAATTAGTGTTTGCACACTGGTGTATGCTCAGCTAAAAATATGATGCAACCCCCCCCCCCCATAAAAAAACAAACAAACAGTAAGGTGAGGGGTAGTCATATTGTTGCAAACTACACCCTCTGTGCTCGATGACACTAATATGGGTGTTCTACCTTCTGCAGTTACATAACCTACCATTTATTTTGCCTGTGGAACTTCTCTGCCCAGCCACTATGCGATTTTACCTGTACATTTGTCATTGTCAGACTCAATTTGGCTGAGTTTGTCAAAACATCAAGCATGAGAAGGCACTGGTTTGTATATTTGCTGAGTCTGGGATATTTACATAACTTAATTACATCAGACATTTGCTACCTGTTAAATATCCTTTAAATATATGCAACTTAATTACTTAATTACTTAATTACAACTAAATATTCTGAAATTTAGAAAACAAAAATCTAGAAACTAAATGAAAACTAATTGGATTTTAAAGCAAAAAATGTAAACAAATGAGCAACCAAAGCTATATAATTATATAACCTTAAAGTTAGCTGCATTCTGTGTGCTCGTCTAAAGGGAACAGAATCCCAGCCTTAGTCCTACATACTGCTCCTTATTAATTTTTGATGAACAAAGAAAAAAAAAAGTATGTCACAGAGTGACATAATGCAAAATAATGCAAGTGATAGGTTTTTCCAAGATATCCTCTCCCCTTGGTACATATCTTTATCTTTCAAACTCTAAATTTGCCATCTCTCAGCACAAGCTGAAATACCCCTGATGACATCACAGCAAAATTGTGTCATTTTTCTTCAACTTGTCAAAACTCTTCCAGAGCAATAGACAATATCATCCTATTTGTAGCTGTGGGGGGAAAAAACAAACAAAACAAAAATACTGCCGTGCTACTGTACACCACTGCAGTGGATTTTAGATTAAACAAAGGCACAAAGAAATTTGGAAAACTGATGATATAACTTTAAATATGAGAATGATTTTTAATACGTGGACAAAAATTCTCTTCTGATGACTGCCTGAAGTCCAGAAAACATGGACATCACCAAATGCTGTTTCTCCCATTGAGACCCTCTGCTAGTCTTAACTACTCACTTCCTGCTTGTTTGTATGTCTCTCCTTTCCGTTTTATCTTCATTTACTGAAAAGCATGCTCCTCTATGTTGAGATCAGGTGACTCACTTGGCCATTGAAGATTATCCCATTCTTTTGCCTTGAGAAGTTCTTGGGTTGCATTTGCAGTATGCTTATCTGTTATGTGCTGTCTGATTTGCTGTATTTGGATGAACGTGAGAAGAAACTGCACTTGAGAATAGATCCTGCTACTTCTGGTAGCGGTCGCTTGATCAGTAAACACTTGTGGGGCATATTATGTCCCTCCCATAACACTGCATCTACCATGTTTGGCAGATGATGAGCCATCTCTCTTCCTATTATGACTTCCTTGTTCTTGAGTGTAACCAGTGTTTTGTTGGTGTTGTCTTGTTGTAAACCATCTACTAGAGTTGCCTTATAATGGTCCATCAAGGCTTTTGGTGTTATTCAGCTGGCCAGTGCTTTCCTAATTTTTCCTTTTCTTTTTTCAGTATTATGGTGACCCTATTTACTCACAGCAATCTGACATCATATTAAGAACTTCAGTGAAAATCCACTAGATATTAGTTCAAAACTTTGAATGAATGTCAGATATTATATCTACATAAAGTTTCATAAAATACACAAGGAATCAACCTCAGCCTCACCACGACTGTGATTGTCAATCAACTGTCCAATTAGGAGGATCTGAAAATGCCAAAGCAGGTAATGCAATACTTTGTATTAAACCCATTGAATCAAAGTTAAAAGTTTGCATTTCAGTGTAATTTTGACAGTTTTAAACATCTTAAATCTACCTTGGTGGTGTACAGAGGCCAAATTAAAAAGACGGTGACATGGACCTTCCTTAGTGTAATTAGAGTTTACATAATGGGTCAATATACACAAACACAATCAGGACTGTCTTGACAATGAAGTAATTGTTTCAGTGATCTTATTAAGCCAAACCGTCCAAATTTATTTGACTAATAAAGAAAATAATCCGCATATAAAACATCTTAACAGTCACAACATCTTACCCCCTATTTTCACTCTATTATTTTCAGGGGAACAATCTCAGCTACTTACTTTCCCTAATCTATCCAAATAGACTCCTGAGTCACAATTTAGCAGCTTGTGATGAAACCTTTTATCCTGGTAGGAGTTACAAAGTGTCCATTCATAAGGCAAGATGAGTAATTGAATGAAAACTTTCTAAACCAAAGTTAACTTTTGCTTTCTTAACCTGTATAAATATTTAATATATTTAATATACCTCTGTTTTTCTCATTTTGGATTTTGCAGTTATAATATAAAATGTTTTGGAACGCAGGTCCTAGTAGGCACTTTTACATTTCACAGCAGGAAAAGCACTAGTTTAATTATCAGCATAAATAACATAAAGTCATGTTGGCTTACTGGAGCTGCCTCCTGGTTTTCATAGCTGAAATAAGCAGCCAAGAATCCCTTCAGCTACACTGATGCAATTCAACATGTAAAGCTGTTTATATTACTAGATTTGTCCATTTTCCCCAATTTTATACCCCTTTTTTCTTTTCCCTGAGAAACAAATGCTTGTTCGTCTACACATCTACAATTCCTTAAATTTTCTTCCTATGAATTGAGCTTGCTTGGTAGCTTAAAACAGACCAAGTTCCCTAACCAGGCCCTACATTTGTCAGTGTCTTTTAACAAGCCCATCTTTCTTACTTTGCCCAGAGTTACTCCCATGGCCAAATCACAATGAATTATCATGACAAAACAAAAATGCACACACAAGTGGACAAATGGGGAGAAGGGGTCAGACCCAATTTCCTGTGTCACAGGGCGACTAATAGAAAGGAAAGTGTTCTCTGACTCACAGACCATCTCACTCAGCAGATCTCTTTTCCCCTTACATTGCCCCTGCCTACCACAGATTTCTGGCTGAAGTTGTCTGGATGAAGAGACCGCTGGAGCTGCAAGTATGTTTTCTGCAGCTTTTGTGTGTCCAGTGTGAATGTGTAGTCACTGAAAAAGGTAACACGTGATAAAATGAATGGACTGGATTCATTTGGAAAACTTTTTAAGATGGTGGCATATGTTAAGGTAAACAAGAAACTCACCAATCCATGATCTTGAAGTAGGATGTCCCTTCTACTGGGGGCTGCACTGCTTTGCATGACACGCAGAAAAATGCAGGTCTTTTGTCAAGAAGATGCTTACAATTCCAACAGTTCAATTTAATTTGACTTGTGCAGCAATTCCTGGGTGAAGCGGATTGATTAGTGAAGTAAAACAGCTCTCTCCCCTTTCTGAGTGCTCTGAAGTTCATGTTGCTGTGCCATGTGCCCTTCCTGTGGAGGCTGGTAGACATACAGTAAGCTGTACATGTAACAGCTTTAGAAACAAGCACTCGGTTGGTGGTTAGCCAGCTTGAGTGCAGTACAGCCCGGGATGAGCCAACAATCCTCAAAGAGTTGACAGACAACATTTCTGGAATTAAAATGCACTACTCGCTGTCGTGCACTCAATAAATACACGAAATGTTCGCTGCCAAAACACATCTCTTCCCGGAAAAACAAAGAAAGAAGAGCGTTCTTCTTCTACGTTTTGTAATGCTGCCACACTGCCGCCGCTCGGTGGGTTTCGAGTTCTCGATGGAAAACCAACAGCTAGCTGGCAACAGCAAACGCAATTTGTAAGGAACTATTGATAAAGTATCCTTAGTTTTGGACACAGCACACCAATTGAAGTAAGCTGAGCACCTCACAAAATTTTCAGTGTTTGTAAGTAGTGTACTAGTGTCGTTTTAGGTGCGGCTTTTGCCGAGGATGTAACGATAACAAGAACCCCTGGTCTGCATGTAGCTAGCTTAGCTCACTAGCTGAACAGTATAGCTTAGTTTGCGAACATGTCTTAACAACAAAATGCCTTTATTCGTGGTCGGTATTGACAAATAAGCTGGTTGTTGTCAGATTCTAGTTCACGCCCTTAAAAACAGCCTTTCATGTTATTTAAGGGCACATGTAAAGAAAAAAAGCACTCGGGTTTAACTTTATGTTGAGTAGCTTGCTCAGCTAGCTAGATGACAAAGGCATCCCATGTTATGGTTATGAGCGGTGACAAAAACAAATTCAAACTAGCTTATTTATTATTATTATAATAATAAATAATCACTCGTTTAAGAAGCATCAGCTTAAAACATCACTTAATGCACGCTTGCGTAACTTTAATTGCCTTTTTCAGAAAGTCTAGAAGACTGCATTTTCATACCAAGTGGGTTGTTGTTTTTTTCTCTTTCAGATTCAACTGCGTTCTGATAAAACAGGCAATGCTTCATGAAGAGTTCTGGATACTCAGTGAGTGGCTAGTCCGCCAGGGACATCATCAGGCACTGGAGCACAGATAACACTTCCAAACTTGTGAGTTTATTGACTAAGAGTACTTTTTGCTGCTTCATCATCCATCCATACAGGCGGTCGCAATACAACAGCTGCTAGCTGTGTGTCGAAAAAAAAATTCTCTGAACACTGGCCAGTCTAAATATGCTTATTTGGCCAAGAATCAGACTAGGCGTCTCGACTGTTTGTCATTACAGTTTCCTACCAAAGTACAAGCTCTGTGATGAATGCCAGGTCTTGATTCGTGTGTGTGTGTGTGTGTGTGTGTGTGTGTGTGTGTGTGTGTGTTTTTGGGAGGTTGCAAAAGCTGACGGTAGAGTATTCCAGAGAGACACTTGTTGGAGACAGCAGCTTCTATAAGGTAAACAGGATCTCTTCCTGAAGGTCGAGGGAGGTACTTCTCAAGGCCCCCACAGACAATACTCTGGGTATTATTTAACGGAAACCACTAAGAATAGAGAGCAGGGGAGCAAGGTGGCTCCTCTGGCGGTCATGTTGTTTGGGTTAAACAAGCCAAAACGGAACATCTTCTTAAGAAGAGTGACTTCTCGAGCTTTCATGCTGGGTGTGGCAATTTAGAGGGCTTTATCTGGCTCTGATGTACAGCAGAGGAAAGGGAGATTAGTTGTGGATTGCTCTTGGCTGTTTATGTATGGAGGACTTGTGCTTTACAATTAGAATCTGTAAGTAAAACACATTTTCATACCTAATAGGACATTGTTAACCTATCATTTTATATAAGCTATGTATTATGTGCCTTTTTTTTTATTTTGGATTTTTTAAGGCAGTGCATGACTTTGGCTGGTCCAGCAATATCCCCCAGATAATGCATTACCTACCTACTAAAGGAAAGAGTCTCTGTATGTTTGTGTCTGTTCTTCACTTTTCTTAAACATTCATCATAAGGAAGGTGATATATCCTAGTATTGGGACAAAAAATTCCTGCAATGCATTTTTCTTCTAATTGCAAATACATACATACATACATACATACATACATACATACATACATACATGTATTTACTCAGACATACATGTCTGAGTAATCATGTCTGGTATGTCATTACTTGTGTTTCATAAGTTTGTCAGTTATATTTGGATGATGAATTGATTTTGTGTTAATCAGCTGACTTCACTTTGTGTGATCTAAAAT